TTCAATAGCATTGGTTCTTGATCATCTGCCACCTCTTGAAATGGATGAACATCGACTAATTCTTTTTGTTACAGTGACCCTGTGTATTCCTTCCATCTTATTTTGATGCTTCCTGCATCATTCAGTATTTTGCCCACAGAATCTTTCAATATTGCAACTCAAAGCTTGAATTTTTTTCCTCAGTTCTTTCAGCTTGAGAAATGTTAAGCATATTCTTCCCTTTCAGTTTTGCAACTCCAGGTCTTTGCACATTCATTATAGTAATTGGCTTTGTCTGCTCGAGTTGCTCTTTGAAATCTTCTGTTCAGCTCTTTTAGCTTGTCATCTCTTCCATTTGCTTTAACTACTCTCCTCTCAAGAGCAAGTTTCAGAGTCTCTTCTGAAATCCATTTTGGTCTTCTTTTCTCATCTTTTTAATGACCTCTTGCTTTCTGCATGGATGATGTTCTTGATGTCATCCCATAATTTGTCTGGTTTTTGGTCATTGGTGTACAATGCATCAAATCTATTCTTTAAATGGTCTCTAAATTCAGGGGGAATATTATCAAGGTCATATTTTGCTTCTTGTGGACTTGTTTTAATTGTCTTCAACTTCAGTTTGAATGTGCATATGAGCAGTTGATGGTCTTTTCCACAATCAGCTCCTGACCTTGTTTTGGCCAAACATATTGAACTTCTCCATCAACTTTTTCCACAGATGTAGTGAATCTGATTCCTGTGTATTCCATCTGGTGAAGTCAACATGAATAGTTGTCACTTATGTTGTTGAAAAAAGACATTTGCAAAGAATAAGTTGTTGGTCTTGCAAAATTCTATCATGCAATCTCCAGAATTATTTCTATCTCCAATGCCATATTTTCCTACTACCACTGATGACTCTTCTTTGTTTCCAACTTTGCATTCCAGTCACCAGTGATAATAAACACGTTTTGATTGCATGTTCAATCAATTTCAGACAGCAAAGTTTAGTAGAAATCTTCAATATCATCATCTTTGGCTTCAGTGGTTGGTACATAATTTGGATAATAGTAGTATTAACTGGTCTTCCTTGTAGGCATATGGATATATTGCTATTTTTGACAGTGTTGTACTTCAAGACAGATCTTAAGACAGTGTTTGTGACAATTAATGTTACACCATTCTTA